GAATCACAGCATCCCTGTCAGGTGGCTGACTGCCCTGGTCTTTGTGCTGCAGGTGGAGCTGGCTCTGTGGGACACAGCAGGACAAGAAGACTACGATCGACTTAGACCGCTTTCTTACCCAGACACCGACGTTATACTTATGTGTTTTTCAATCGATAGTCCTGATAGTTTAGGTAAGCAGGATGGCATCACATGAAAAACTGCTCCTGGGTGTTGCTGTATTCCTTTGGAAATCATCCCTTAAAATGTATTCTCGTGTGCTGCGATGAGAGCATTCCCGGCTTCAAAATCTGCCTTTATTGCAATGTATGGTTTTCATAAATTCAGATCTTTAAGGAACCTTGCAGTACAGATTGGCACTTTGATTTATTGTTATTATTTCTCCTTGAAAATGGCAGGTTCTTACGTGCTCAAGATTGCACTATATCCAGGAAAACTGACCAACTCCCTTCCTTTGTAAATGGGAAAAGTTAGCTTTGTGTCATTCCTCCTCCCCCCAACACACCCTTTTTATTCAGGAGAGAGTTTGGTTTGAAGCACTCCCAATTACTAGGTTCTAAACACACAGAGTTCTCCTTCTCTGCGTGGTGGGGAAGAAACCTGACCTGGAGCAGGCTCAGGATGGGGAGGAGAGGCTTTCTCACTGCTGGAAGGGATTGCAGAGGCTGAGGGTTTATGGCCTGCTCTGCTTTCCTGTGAGTGGCACCTGCTTGTGGTGGAGAAGAGAACACAGCTGCTTGATTTAAGATTTCTGAGCTCCAAATGAGACAGATGTTTGTGTATCAGATGGCACCTCTCCTGCACAGAGCCCAGGGCTGAATTGTTTGGTGTTTGGTATTTAAGACTGATGCACAGATACGTGTTTGATCTTAAAAAGGCAGCTCTGAGGAGGGGGAGAAGAAGGAAGTAGGGAGACTCCTATTGCAAAGACTCAGAACATCTCTTGAACTTTGATTCCTGTCCCAGTTAAAATGGTAATTGCTGCATCCAGCATAGCCTCCCAACCACGTATTTTGTGGTAACATTTTCTTAAACAAGTGATTTTCTGCAAAGATCAGTGACCAGTGGCATTTGTTCACTGGTGCTTATTTGGGAGCTGTCTCACTAGATCTCCCTACTCCTCTGATCCATCCTATGGGCAAACCCTTCCTCCCTGAGTTGCCTCAGGAAGAAACAAGGAGACAGAAAGGAGGTGTGAAACACTGCCAGTGGGATAATGCCTGGTGGTTGTTCTGATTTCTTGCCTTGCCTTACAAATGAGTGGCACAGTGTTTGTTTCTGTGCATCTGTAGTCCATGGAGTTCAGGTGGTGGTTTGGTGTTGGGGTTGGGTGTTGTAAAAAAGCTACACTGCAGGGTCGTGCCTGTCTTTTAGCTTCTGGAGATAAAGGCAGTGCATCTCTTGAAGCCAAACATTCCATAACTCTTCACATCAGGATTCTGATTTCTCTTCTTTGAAATCTTGTGGTAACCCTTGTCAAATGGTTACTGAGACGTAGAGAAACCAAAATTTTGGGTGTCCACCAGCTTGTCTTTTTGGTATCAGCAGAACAGGTCTATTTGCACCTGGTGTGGAAAGTAGAATAAGGGCATCAGTGTTTTTTAGCTCGTTACTACAAGTCAGCAGGCAGAAGCCTTAAAAGAAAACCAGCCCCAGAACTGGGTTTTGGTGTGCTCACACTTGTGGTATTTTTTTAACAGAAAACATCCCAGAGAAGTGGACCCCAGAGGTGAAGCATTTCTGTCCCAACGTGCCTATCATCTTGGTAGGAAACAAGAAGGACCTGAGGAATGACGAGCACACAAGACGAGAGCTGGCCAAAATGAAGCAGGCAGGTTCCTTTGAGAGAGCTTTAACAAGACATGAAGTGGGTAGTGATAGGACAAGGGAGAATGGTTTTAAACTGAGATGGGAGGTTTGGGTTGGATATGAGGAGGAAGTTTTTCACCCAGAGGGTGTTGAGGCACTGGAACAGGTTGCCAAGGAGGCTGTGGATGCCCCATCCCTGCAGGCATTCAAGGCCAGGCTGGATGTGGCTCTGGGCAGCCTGGGCTGCTGGTTGGTGAACCTGCACACAGCAGGGGGTTGGAACTGGATGAGCACTGTGCTCCTTTGCAGCCCGTTCTATGAAAGTGCATCTCAGCTGTCCCAGAGCATCGAGTGGGCATCGGCAGCTTGCTGTGTGTTGCATAGTGAGCAGTTTATGGTCGGGTTGTAAAAGGAAATGGCTTCAGCGGCGTCTGCCATCAGCGCAGACGCTGCAGCTCCTTCCTGAGCACGTCGCTTGGTTTTAACTCTCCTCTGTGTTGTTGCAGGAGCCTGTCAAGCCTGAGGAAGGAAGAGATATGGCAAACCGCATCGGTGCATTTGGATACATGGAGTGTTCGGCAAAGACCAAAGACGGTGTGAGGGAGGTTTTTGAAATGGCCACTAGAGCTGCTTTGCAAGCCCGGCGTGGCAAGAAAAAGTCCGGGTGCCTTCTCTTATAAAGTGTGGCCAGAGGAAGATGGCCAAAGCAGCACCCTGCACTTGAGTAATTTTGAAGTGCTGTTTATTAATCTTAGTGTATGATTACTGGCCTTTTTCATTATCTATAATTTACTTAAGAGATTAAAAATCGAGTCATCTTGCTACCAGTATTTAGAAGCCAACCATGATTTTTATAACAATCTGCATCAAATTCATCTGTGCACCCAAGGTTAACCTCAACATTCCTCTAACCAACCTTTTCTGCACTCACAGGATATGCCAGGCGCTAATTGAAGACAATTCTCTATCTTCTTTCTTCTTTCTAGAAAGAGAAAAAGCTGTCAACACAGAGGATTGGTCTGTAACTACTTAATAACTAACGTCCTATTCTAATTGAGTACAACAGTTCATGGCTGTATGTGGAACGAAGCGTGGCTTCAGTGCTATCACATTTAGGAAGGTCTGATTTTCATGGCTGGGTGGTGTGAAAGGTTTGTTTGAAAATGTGATCACTCTGAAATGACCAAGTCCCATTCAGCTAAGGAAAAGTGAGGGTTCTGTGGTTTCATGTTAGTTACCTTTTAGTTACTGTGTAATTAGTGCCAGTTTAAATGTATGTTACCAAAAATAAATCTATTTACCCCAGCTTAGATGTAGTATTTTTTGTATAATTGGATTTCCTAATACTGTTACTTGTAACCTCTGCGTTAAGGTGTTCTGGGTTTTTTAAGAAACTGTATTTGAAAATAAAGTCCAATGGAAAGCAGCTGATCCTCTTCCCCTTCATTTGTAAGAGTCTGACCCACCTGAATGATCCAAGTGGTCTGCACAGCCAGGAGGAGTTTTTTCCATGACGTGCCGTAGGGATGAGAAAAGACAGCCTGCTCACACTCAAAGCTTCTGAACTGTTCAGTTGCCTTAAGCTCATTGCTGGACCCAGTTTCAAAACTAAAATTAAAAAAAAAAAAAAAAAAAAAAAAAAAGGAAACTTTTTGTGTAAGTTTGGTTACCATGTAGTGATCAGACTCCTAACCTGTGAACTTCTTGCTGTTCTGCAGCCAACTAAACTTTCTGTATTTTCATTTTTCCAACAACTAATAGAATAAAGGCAGTTTTCTAAGCTCCCTGTATCCTGGTGTCTGTATTGCTCACTCCGGGCTTTTGGCCCAGCGTCCAACAACCTGAACCAGAAGAATCATTCTCGGTGTGGCTGTGAACAGCTGCAAATGCTTCTGTGTGTTTTTCCTGGTAAGTGCTGCCCGTGGAGGAGGAATCCTTCACCCTGCCTGGCGATGAGATCGCAGAATGAGCCGGGTTGGAAGGGACCTCGAAAATCATGAAGCTCCAACCCCCTCATCGCAGGCAGGGCCACCAACCTCTGTATTTAATACCAGACCAGGCAGCGCAGGGCCCCATCCAACCCTGCCTTCAACACCTGCAGGGATGGGGCATCCACAGCCTCTCTGGGCAGCCTCAAATTCAGCGCCTCACCGCTCTCATAGTAAAGAACTTCCCCCTGACATCCAACCTCAATCTTCCTTCTTTCAACTTAAAACCGTTTCCCCTTCTCCTGCCGTCATCCACCTTTCCAAGAGTTGATTCCCCTCCTGTTTACAGGCTCCCTTTAGGTACCGAAAGGCTGCAACGAGGTCACCCCGCAGCCTTCTCTTCTCCGGGCTGAGCTGTGCTGCAGCATGCATCCGTGCCCGTGTTGGTGTTTCCAGCAGCTGCTGCGGAGCTGAGAGCCCTGCTAGCAGAGCTGGGTTTGGGCCAGTGCCCTGTGGAAGGGAGCACCGAGCTGCACCCAGGCCGAGTCCTGCAAAATACCATTCGCTTTTTGAAGGGGGGGGGCAGGCTGTGCTCCGGACACGCAAAGGCAGTCCTTTGCACCCGCCCCGGGGTGACACAGCGGCAGAGCAGGAAGTTCCCAGCCGCTGCGCTGCCCGTGGGGATTTCATGGCTGTTGTTGAGCTTACTCGTTGCCGTGCTCTTCCCTTTTTGGGGTGGAGGTTTTTTTCTTCTTCCTTTTTTTTAAAAAAGTTGAGCAAAACCGGTTTGCAGCCGCCGTTACGCAGCCGCTCATCACCCACGGGGTTCTGAGTAAGGGCTGCGCGCCCCTCCAGCTCGCGAGCTGCCGCTCTGCCGCCGCGCTTCCACCGCAAGCGATCCCTTCGTTAGCCCACGTCTGATCCCATCCCCCGCCTGCAGAGCCGCCCCTCAGCCGCGGGTGCCGCCCCCGGAGGTGCCCCAGGCCACCGAGGGGCCCTGGGAGGCGGGAGCTGGAGGGCGGGCAGCCCACGGCACGGGCGGGGCTGGAGGTCCTTTCCGACCCAACCGCGCTGCGTTTCTTCGTGCGTGCTGCCGCCCCTCCCGAGCACCGCCCGCACCCCCAGCCCTGCCCCGGCTCTGCCCCAAACAGCGCAGAGAGGCGCGGAAAGGGGTGGGCGGTGCGCGCCTGAGCTGAGGCGGGACAGAGCGCTGCGGGGTGGGCGGGTGTTGGTGCGTCTGTCCGTCTGTAGGAAGGAGCGGAGCAGAGCGGAGCGGCCATGGCAGCAACGCGGCTGGCGGGGATCTTGGCGCGGCCGCTGGGCGCGGCTGAGCCGCTGGCGCTGGGCTCGCTGCAGGGCAAAGTGCTGCTGGTGGTCAACGTGGCGTCGCTCTGAGGCACCACCACGCGCGACTTCCTGCAGCTCAATGAGCTGCAGCAGCGCTACGGGCCCCGCGGGCTGCGTGTGCTGGGCTTCCCCTGCAACCAGTTCGGGCACCAGGTATGGAGCGGGCAACGGGCAGCGGGGAGCGGGGCGGCAGCGCGGCCGGGAGCTCACGGGGCCGATCCTCCCCGCAGGAGAACGCCACCAACGAGGAGATCCTGCGCTCGCTGGAGTACGTGCGGCCCGGCAACGGCTTCAAACCCAATTTCACCATGTTCGAGAAGTGCGAGGTGAACGGGAAGGGCGCGCACCCGCTGTTCACCTTCCTGAAAGAGGCGCTGCCCTTCCCGCACGACGACCCCACGGCGCTGATGACCAACCCGCAGTACATCATCTGGTCGCCGGTGTGCCGCAACGACGTCTCCTGGAACTTCGAGAAGTTCCTCGTGGGCCCCGACGGCGTTCCCTTCCGCCGCTACAGCCGGCACTTCGAGACCATCAAGCTGCAGGACGACATCGAGCTGCTGCTCCAGAAGGTCCCCAAGGAGGCTCTGCAATAAAGGAAAGCCTGCATCTGCGTTGTACCGAGGGCCGCTGCTCTGGCTGAACCCCCAATGTCCGTGCAAGCTTTGCTCGTGACGGTGCATCTTCCAAACCCTCGAAGTGCGCCCGATGTTTTCAAAGCTGCGTGTGAAATGTTTGGGGCAACTCAGCCTGGGGAGCAGCACATGAGTGTGGGCAATGGTGTGGGGTTCTCTGAATAAAGAAAAAGTCTGCTTTAAGGCTACGGCGTGGTGAATCTGGGTGAGTCGGGACAAGCAGGGTGGCAGTGGATGGCCAAAGGCTGGGTGCACGCTCTGCCTGGGTGCACGCTGGGGCAGGCTGAGCTGTGCCCGGGCAGCTGGCAGCCACTGCACGGCTTGTGGCTGCTGTACCGAGGGGCTGCGGAGGAGCAGCCTTTGCCCGAGGTCACTCATTCTTCGTCTTGCATCAGTGGATGCCCCAAGGAGACCCAGAGCTGGAGCAGCGAGTGCGTGTGGTGCTGCTGTCCTATCTGCCCAGCGGTCCCTGGCACTGTTCTGTGTTCTGGCAGCCTCTGGTGGTGCCACTGACCCTGAAAGTGTTCAGGAAACATGGGGATGTGGCACTGAGGGGGTGGCTGAGTGGGCAGCTAGGGATAAGGATTCCATGATTCTGTGATCCTGCATTCAGCCCGGGTCACCTTGCAGCCCCAGCACAGGTACACGGGGCTCTAGCTGGAGAACCAGTTCTTTTGTTCCCAGCCTGTTTGACTACTTCAGCAGAAGCTGTGCCTCGCCTCTGATTATTGCTGTTGCCTCTTGGGCACAAGAATTGTAGGCAACACACAGTGTGGGTGAGCTGGGGTTTGGGCTATGGCATTTTCTTGTTTCAATTCCTCTGCTGCCGTGTTTCTGATTCCAACAAGCGCTGATCTGACAGGTGTTCTGTGGAGCTGCCAAGACCTTGATGTTGTTCCTGGGCAGCAACGCAGGGTTTGCAGCTGAATGCCAAAATTGGGGCTGTTTTCCCCTGGAACCCGTGAGCATGTGCCAAACTTCATCTGCTATCTCACTGCACAGGTCCTCCTGCAGTTGGTTTTTACTCCAGATATCTCACAGTTTCTGCACAATCAACCCTTACAAGGCCTCGAAGCACTGAGTGTAAACATGGTGCTACACTGCCGAGTTCAAGCATGTACCAGCAACTTGGGAAGGCACAACGCTTTCAAGCTCCATCACTTGTGTGTTGTTCTCATAACTGAAACCACTTAACTTTGGGATTTATGGTTTTTTTTTCCTGTTCATAGATTCTCATTTCTTACTTGCTTCATGAATGCAAGTACATCCAAGGCCCCTCTTGGTCCAGTTGTTAAGGCAAAGCCTGCAGGCAGCTCCACCCTGCTTACCTCTACCCCTGAGTAATCCAAATTTCATCTCAGATTGCACAACTCTCACTGGGCTATTTCTTAATTTCCTTAACTTTTTAACTTTGTTAAAAACAAAAACAAAACAAAACAAAACAAAACAAAACAAAAAAAAGCCAGGATGTTTTCAGTAGTTCATTTTGCCTCTGGAGCAGAAGTTGCTTGATTTGGTGCATTCACTTTGCAGTTAAATCCACTTCCCTAATTATTGCAGTATGTTGAAATACACTGAAAGCACAGTGGCTGACGGGCAGCAGGAGCTCATTGCATTGTCTTTAAAAATCTTACTCGATGTGAGCTGTGGCATTTCCTTCATCTTGGCTCACCGGACTCCAGATGTGTGAGCAGGAGCCCCTGCAGGGCACTCCATGCTTTGCCACTTCCCACTGTCTGCAGCCTCTGTAGAGCCCCACAGCTGCAAGGAACAGGGCACCAGGGCAGCCCCACAAAGGGATCCTTCCCCAGGTGGGAGAGCTGCCTGCTGGAGCTGTACAGTGTTCGTTCTGTATTAATGGCCAAGGGATTTGTTTATCTCCTGGCTGCCGGGGCTGTAGTGGCAGAAAAGCAAAGCAGCAGCTCCAGGACAGATGCACACCAGCAGAATGATAGCAGTGATGCTACTCTAGGATGAAAATTGGCAGAAAAACAAACCATCTCAATGTAAGCATGCTGCAGTCCCAGCAGTTAGTGTGCAGAGCAGGTAAAAGCCTCTCGGCCTCATTCCCTGTCTGCTTTAATCACACCCAGAGAGTGGATGGTGGTGGAAGGGCCATCCTGGAAACATTCCTTGGTGACACACACATAAGAGCACAGTTCTTGTGCAGGCTCCTGCACTCCAACATTACTGGGTGTTGGAACCACGTGGGAAAGAGACATTTCACTGCAGGTAATGCATTTCAGTGATTCCGTGACCTGAGGACATTGCCCCTTCCGTATCTTATCTACACTCCCATACCTTCCTACTCCTACACCTTCCTACTGTAACACGTATCTGCTAACAGCTACTCCTTTGCCAGTGCACACCTTGCCCTTCCGTTCCTCTACCTATCAGCCCCAGCTCTCTCCCCTTCCCAGAGTGTTTGGCCCCTCCTTCCTCTCATGATCAGGGTGACTTTCTAAGCTGCCATCAACTCCTTTAACCTTTAAACAATTTCAGATAGGACACAGTCAGGAGCATGGACTAGCTGCAAACAAAAACGTCCTATCCTGCCTTTATCTCCTGGCTTCCCAAGCATTCTGCCCATCAGCCTCAAGGACACAACCCTCAATCATGGAACAGCAGCGTTCAGAAGCATTTAAACAACAGAAATGCCATCAAGTGGAGAATAAAGCAAGCTCTTTATTCTTCAGCCTGCTAAGAGCTCTTTCTGATGTTTATAACTCCTTTTTCCTTTCCGAGGAGTTGCATTGCACACACAAACTTTGCACACACAAACTTCCAGAGGACTTGTAGTCATTTTTTGGTCACTGCCATGGGCAGGCAGGAGGAAACACCTGCCTACAGCTGGGTGGTGCCTGAAAGCCCTTGCTCCCTTAGCCCTACAATGAGACTATTTTGTTTCCTATTAGGAAATAGAGCTCATCCATGTGTGCTTTGCCTCAGTACAGCTGACTCACTGTAAAACACCCACGACACCACGAGCTGTGGCAGCATTCTTAAAGCTTGCTGGCATTCATTGATGGATTGCCTTGCCCTGCAGTTTGTTTAGGTAACAGAGCTGTGTCTCTGTACCAAGGAGAGACGGAAGTTCTGCCAAACGTTTGTACCAAGGAAACAGGAGGTCGTGTAACATGTGATATGTAACAGAACTCTGGGAAACCTCTGCATGTGTAACACGAGCACCACAATCTCCCTGAAGGGCGGTTTCCGGAGGCACTTTCACAGCTCTTACGAGCTCCCCTCGTTGCTCAGCTCTGTCCTCTCTTTTCTTCCCCCCTCAGTCTGAAGGCTCTTCCCCCCAGGCTCACACTCAGCGCAGAGAAGCATAAAGCCTGGCCACAAGGAACACACACACACACACAACAAGCCGCCGAACCACGCCCCCACCACTTCCGGTCACCCGGGCGGGGCCACAAAATGGCGCCCGCACGCAGAGCGCATGTGCGCACGGCCGACTTCCGGTAGCGGATGGGTGAGCGCACCAAGATGGCGGCGGCCCAGGGCGGAGGGGGGGCGGCGCGGCCGGAGCTCGGCCCGGAGGCGCCGGGCTCGGCGGCCGTGGAGCCGGCGGCGGCGGCGGACTCGGCGGCGCCGAGCCCTGCGGTGCAGCGGGCTGAGCTGAGGCCACTGATGGCCGCGTCCATGAGGCTGGGGGAGTCCTGGTGAGCCCGGCCGGCCCTTCCCCGCTGCCCCGTCCCCGGGCTGCCAGCGGGCTGCCAGCGCTGAGGGCCGCGCCGGGCCGTGTGTTGCAGGTACCTGCTGTCCAGCCGCTGGTTCGGTCTCTGGAAGCGCTACGTGGGTTACGACAGGTGGGACGTGTCCGGCGTGGGCGATCCCAACCTCTTTCCTGGGCCCATCGACAACGCGTGTCTGCTGAACGGTGAGTGCGGCCCTGTGTGGCCCGGCCCGTCGGGGCTGAGGGGCTGCGTGGGGCACCCCGGACAACGGTAGCTGCGTGAGAGAGCCGGACCTTAAGCACGTGTCCCTTCCAGGTGGGGAAAGTCAGAGCTTAAAGGAGCACCTCATTGCTCAGCTGGACTATGTGCTGGTGCCCAGCAGCGCCTGGCAGAAGCTGGTTTCGTGGTATGGCTGCATCGAGGGACAGCAGCCCATCGTGAGGAAAGTACGTATGGGTGGAGCAGGGTTTCCTCAGTATACCTTTGTTATCTTTGGGGCTGAGTCTGATTGGATGGAGTCTAACATGACCAAATGCCAAGTCCTGCACTTCTGTCGCAGCAACCCTGGGCAACGCTATAGGCTGGGGACAGAGCAGCTGGAAAGCTGTGTGGAGAAAAAGGATCTGGGGGTGTTAGTTGACACCTGGCTACAGATGAGCCAGCAGTGTGCTGGGGTTTACAAGAAGGCCAAGAGCATCCTGGCACGTGTCAGAAACAGTGCAACCAGCAGGAGCAGAGGTGATCCTCATGCTGGTGAGGCTGCACTTCAAGTACTGTGTTCAGTTTTGGGTCCCTCTCCCCAAGAAAGACATCGAGGTCTTGCAGTTTGTCCATGGAAGGGCATGAGAGCTGTTAAGGATCTGGAGCGCAGTCCTATAAGGAGTGGCTGAGGGAACTGGGTTTGTTTCATCTGGAGAAGAGGAGGCTCAGGGGAGGTCTTATTTCTCTCTCTGCAACTCCCTGAAACGAGGTTGTAGTGTAGTGGGGATCAGCCTTTTCTGCCAGGTAGCAGTGATAAGATGAGAGGGAATGGACTCAAGTTGCACCAGGGGAGATTAGGTTGGATGCTATGAAAAATTTCTTAAAGAATGGTCAGACACTGACACAGGCTGCCTGGGGAAATGATGGAGTCACCATTCCTGAAGGTGTTCAAGAAAAGGGTAGATGTGGCACTGTGGGATGTGGCTTAGGGGGCATGGTGGTGATGGGTTGATGTTTGGACTCCATGACCTTGGAGATCTTTTCTAACCCTTATTCTGTAGTGTTTGTTTCACTAGATGTGAGTTGAGATAATAATGTCAGGTTGCACTCAGCTAGTTGTGTTACAGAACATGATTTGCCAGTGTTGAAGTGCCTGAATCCTCACTGACTCTGTGGATGGGTTATGTGGGGTGAGAGCCATGAACCTTTATGTTTGTTTGGAGCAGTGTGGTGCTTTTGTGTTGTGTGCAGCTTGGGCTGTACTAAAGCATGCAATCTGTTAGGCTTATTGATCTAATG